GTCAAGGACTTTTCAGCTTCCCATGCTCTACCGACTGAGAAGGCTGCAGGTGCACAAGAAGCTGGGAGGGGGCACAGCCAAACTGGCCGAAGAAACATTCCATACCATGTGACGTCATGCTCAGTACATAAACTGGGGAAAGCTGGCCGGGGGGGCCGCTGCTCGGGGACTGGCTGGGCATCGGTCGGCGGGTGGTGAGCAATTGCACTGTGCATCACTTGCTTTGTGTATTATTATTATTATTACTACATTATTATTATTATTGCTATTATTATTTTATTTCAATTATTAAATTGTTTTTATCTCAACCCACAAGTTTTTCTCACTTTTACTCTTCCAATTCTCTCCCCCATCCCACCGGGGTGGGGGGGGAGGAGTGAGTGAGCAGCTGTGTGGGGCTCAGTTGCTGACTGAGGTTAATGCCACAACAGCTTCACTTGCGATTGTGGCTCAGAGCTGCAGTCTCTAAGGATGCAGACACCTGCATGGGAAACAGGGGGAGAGGTGCCGTTGTGCTCTCTGTTCCTCGTTGGTACCCAGGCAGTGACAGTGGCCAACACCTGAGGCTAATGAAAGGGGCACAGGCTGAACTGGTGGGGTAAGAGAACAGTTTAGGACTGGGTCACTCAGGAAAAGGACATTTTGTAGAAAAGGAGCACTCTAGTGGAAACTGGACAAGGAAAAGTCTGGACCAGCTGGGCCAAGTAAAGAGGGTAACACAAGGGCAAAAAGAGGAAAGTCAGAGATGTAGCAAAGGTCGTGTGAACAGATTTAACAACCAGGAAGGATTAGTAAATTGTACCTCAGAGGAAATCAAGAGCTGGTGTGGGAAATGGGATGGTGAGCTCACAGACCACTGGTCTGTAAAATGAATAGTAACCTCCCATCACTCTCACTTTCTTCATTACTTCGGTGTGAATAGTTTTAACGGCTCTGGCCCTGCAAGCACTAACAGGACAAATGCAGAATGGATTTTTTTCAGGGTTGTTTTTTTCTCCCTAAATCAAAGAACATTCCATATGACTCCTTTATGTCAAGTGCTCACATCATCACCTTACCTTAGATACCAGTTGTTCACATAGATGTGATGCCATCATTTCTTATGGAAAGCTACTATAATATGTTTCCCATGATTCCCTCTCCCCTTCCTGCATACCTAACCTTGCTCTAGCTAGCCTTTGTCTCCACTGCTGCACAATGACCAGGAGCCAACACAGCCCTACTGACAGCAGTAATCCTCAAACCGATACAAGTGCCACATGGTAAGCAGCCAGCTTATAGTCTTCCTGCTAGTAGGTATAACTTTTTTAATGCTAAATTTCATCTGCAACTATGTCATACATTAACCGAATTTGGTTCAGGTCCTTTAAATGGAACCCTTTGTCTTGAACCCTGTCCTTGAGGCATCAGCTTCATCTACCCATGGCTCAAGTAATATCAAAATCTTTATACTGAAAGCAAAGCAGTACTGGGAAAGACCCTACTCCAAAATGATTTAGTGAGCAGGCAGACATGGGAGACAAATTCAAGCCCCAAAGACGCCTGAGAAATGAGTCAGTTGTTCTAGTTTTAATAATCACGTCTTGCAATTTGCCCACTTCATATATGCAGCTCAGAAATTCCTCAATCATGCCAGGAACCTTCTTTTAATATAGGTGCAGTTTTTGCTTCCCTCCAATCATTCACTAAAGTGCCTGGTTTTACTTTGAAATTCTGTATTATATCTAGTGACTTATCCACTTCATCCCTTCTTCTAGTACCTCTAGCCCTAAAACCTCAGTTTTCTACCAGAAAATTGCAGACAATCTCAGCAAGCAATCTCCTCAGTGTTTTCTGCCAGGGAGTCTTGATGAAAAGAAACCATATAGCTTTTCAAAGCCTTTATCATCTTTAATTGCTTTTTAAGAGGTAGTGACTCAGGACACCCATCCAGTCTTCGCAAGCTGTAGCACTGTGTGATGCACGGGACTAAGCCATACATGCTTTCTTCACTTGCGTCTCTAGGAGTAAACATTCCCTGAAGCAATTGTTTATGGTATTAGGAAATTGCTTCTCCTATCTTAGTTTCACTGCGATGTTCAGTTTCTTTTTTGGCAGCTGAAGGTGTGAATCATATAATTGTGCTGTTTTTAAACCGGTATTTGATTAGGCCCATCAGAGAGGAGAAAGAGGCATCACCTCCCCCTGTCATCCAGAGCAAACCTGTTTGCAAACCTGTCAGTCCCCACTGACCTCCGGGGGTCCCGGGACACACAGAATACAGGCTTGCCTAACACTGCCAGAAAAGAATACCGCTCTCCCGCAGGAGGCCAGGAGGGAAGAACCCTGCACACTGAACATTGCCAACTCCTCCACTCTCTGCAGAGGAATTACTAGTAAGTGGCTACTCCCTTCGCACTGTCTGGGCAGACAGCGTAGAAAGATCTGCCCCAAAGAAGTGATTTTGTCTCTTTAGCTCTCTGAAATCTGTTCCTCTCTCGGGCTGAGAAGATTGAACTGAACGGGCTAGCATGAAAATTATGCTGCTTTGAAAGGGACAGCCTCCTCCCCTCCTCCCCTGACTGGAGGTGCCAGGCTCTGCAGCAGCTCTGTCCCACTCCCCTCGCTGGCTGAACCCTTACCAGATAGAGGTTCTTGAGCTTGGGAAGATTGAGCCCTGCTGTGCTCTCTAGCATGTTTCCTCGCAGCTCCAGGATTTGCAGGCTGAACAATTGGCCGTGACTCAGGCCCAGCGCTGTCTGGATTTTATTTCCTGAGTGCCAGAGGAGGAAGAAACAACAAGAGAGTTAATCCCACCCAAAGAGAGCGTCCTATGTGCACAAGAATGAAGAGAGGTGGTCCGTATCACCTTTCAGGCTGAGGTTGGCTAAGCGGGGGTGAGTAATGCCCTCCATATCCTTGATGCGGTTGCGAGCAAAGCTGATGATCTGGAGGTAGGGCAGCTCCTGCATGCAGGCACTGGTAAGCAGATTCCCATCCACCTTCAGCCAAAGCAGGTGGGTTAGGCTGCTCAGCGGAGACAAATCTTGCAGCTTGTTCTCTGACAAATCCACATACCGCAGGTGAATGAAGCATTTGAGGAGGCTGATGTCTGTCAAGTCCCTGTGGGAGGGAGGATGTGAATAAAACATCTCTCATATTTCCCCCTGCTACCAGCTTTCAGTTTGCTCCTCACCACTACTGGAGGGAGGCCATCCTCCTCTCCCACTTCCCTGCTGTGCTAGGAAGCCTTGCTTGGAGAGAAGGAGGAAAAAGGCAGGCAATAGGGACAGGACGAATAGTCTGTAAACAAGGCTGAATGTTAAGATTGGACCTGCTTTCCTGGCACAGGGAGTACTTATTCCCATTGAACTGTACCTGTCAGGAGACGGCAGAACCAGAGCAGAAAAGAGGGTAAGTCTGGGGAGGTAGGTCTGTTAGACAGTAGTGGCAACACCAAGGACTGTGTGGAAGAACTTTGCTAGTGGGAAAAAGCTGGTTGAGATACCTATGAGGCTGCTGAAGGACAGTGTCTTACTGAGGCCTGTTAGTTAGCTCTAGGGTTATGTGGGTGTACTGATGGGGCCGAGGCTCCAAACTGTCCCCAGGCCATTGTGGCACTGTACTTACAAGTGCATGCCTTAAAGGCTAGCAGTTAACAGGAGAGATGCTTAATGGATACTTCTCGAAGTGACTGTGGGGAGGTCACCCTGTTCAGGTCCCCCTAGGAGACCACAGAACAGAGGGATGGACAGGCTCCCCTCAGTCTAGGGGTACGCTGATGTTCCCAACAGTGCATCTGGCTATAGTGGAGACAGTCCCCAGCTCAGGGCTGAGGATGGACAAGCTATGCCAAGGCACAGACTGGAAGCCAGACAGCCAGAGAATGTGGCCTGTAAACGCTCCTGCCCCACACAGCTGGTCACCAGTGGCCTTATGGCGCAGCTGCTCCATGGCTACATAGATGCCTGGGGAGGAGGAGGCCTTCTCTTGGGGCAGGTGTTGGACACTCACTTGTATTTGGCTTCAAATTTCACATAGGCGTGGGCCAGGCCATTGCCGGTCTTACAGAGGAGAGAGAGGCCCTCCTTCAGGACCTCCTCCGTCAGGGGACACGGGGCCAGCACCTGGGAGAGAAGGAGAGAGCTCAACGCCAGCGCTGGCCTAACCACAGCCAGAGGGTGCTGAGGCCCCCTCCCTCACCTGTTCTTCCTCCTCCTGCTCCGACAGCGCCGCCGCCGCCTCCTCCTCCTCCTCCTCCTCCTCTCCCTCCTCCCCCTCCTCCTGAAGGCTGTACTCGCCCCCCTCCAGCTCCTCGCCCTCCATCCTCACAGACCCCGCTTCCCACCCCGCGGAGGGAGCT